ATTCATAACCAGCTAATAAAATAGCAGGAATACTGTTTCAAAATCCTCAACATGCTGGGCGCTGGTGGCTCACGCCTGTAATCCTAGCTACTCAGGAGGCTGAGATCTGAGGATCGCGGTTCAAAGCCAGCCAGGGCAGGAGAGACCGTGAGACTCCTATCTCCAATAAACCACCAGAAAACCGGAAGTGGCGCTGTAACTCAAGTGGTAGAGCACTCGCATTGAGCTGAAGAGCTGAGGGACAGCGCCCAGGCCCAGAGTTCAAGCCCCACGACCGACAAAAAAAAAAAAAAATTCCTCAGCATTACAAGGTAGATGTTTATGAAGTCATTGGTAGAGTGCTTACTAAGGCTGAGGCTCTAGGTTCCTTTCCAGGAGCACAAACAAAACCAAACATAATAAAAATTAATACAAATGTTGCAGAACATAGGTGGCACATCTATGCCTTTTCTTTTCTTCTTCTTTTTTGTTGATCGTGGGGCCTGAACTCTGGGCCTGGGTGCTGTCCCTCAGCTCTTCAGCTCAAGGCTAGCGCTCTACCACTTGAGCCACAGCGCCACTTCAGGCTTTTTCTGCTTATGTGGTGCTGAGGAATGGAACCCAGGGCCTCATGCATGCAAGGCAAGCGCTGTACCACTGAGCCACCTTCCCAGCTCCCATCTATGCCTTTTCACTATCCAGTTCTTTTAAATTTTATATGTCTATATTTTCATCATTAAATATTTGAAAAAAAATACAGCAAAACCCTTCAAACCTACTTTAGGGTCTGGTATGAGTCTCAGAGAAATGAAAATAAATGTGGAGGTTATGCACTTTCAGAAACCATCGACAAGCCTACCATTCTGTACTCAGTTGTTTGAAGAAGGGTGCCAGCCCCTCCACACTTGGGAACCACAGGGTTCCGGTGACCTGGTTTCCAACTAAACAAATCAGATGACCTGGGGATAGCTGCCTTGACCTCTGAAATGAGGGGTCGTCAACTACATGAGAATGCCACCTAACAGGGCATTTGGAGGGTGCCATAGTGCCCACTCCAGTGATAGTTGACACATATGTAGTCCTTCCCATTCTACACTCCTGATAGACTTTCAGTCTTGGGGACTGGAATGTGGGGGTGAATGCTGGGCTTACCACAATACCTAATAAAATAAAACTAACTCTTCTTCAGTATGCCAATGAAGATTTTGCTATGTTCCTTTCCTTATAAGCCTGCCACCTGAACTCTCTAGTTTTCTATAGAATTTGACTTTATGCAGATTGTCTTCTTGTAGTTAATAGAACAATTCTCTGATACTGAAGCTGATGTTATTGACATTCATATTCACACCTATCAACCAGTTTTCACTAATTCTAATGTACAGTATCAAGTTTTCAGAAGACAACTTCCCTGAAATATACACACAGGAAAATGTTCCATTAGTTATTTGCCTTTCAGAATGAATTTTAAAATGAATTTTACCTGTGAAAGACTGGAATATTTTTGCAGTGCAGCTGTAAAAGTGTTTTAGAAAACCCCTTTCAGTTTTTGTTATTTTCAAGGAACTACTCATAATGGTAAGAATCACAAGTAGACTCCAACTCTCTAAGCTCAAACAGCTCAGGGGAAGACCACCCAGTGTCTTGAAAAACATTTTTAGGTTATCAGAAGCTGCCATTTATTCATGTCCTCTGTTCTCACTGTGAAATGACAAGCTTAAACAAGTACCCTAAGTAGCTTCCAAGCTCTAAGTTTCTGTGATCAATGATTGAACAAAGAACAACGGATCAGTTATCCAAGCAAGCAAACTGAAGTATGTTTCCTGTTGGCACATTTTTAGAGCCTAGAGGTTTAGTGAACTAATTAAACAAGCGAAGAATCAACATATTCAAAAGAAGTCTCACACACAAAACAAAGAATAGCTATTTTCTGCCACTATCTGAACATGACATAAAAGAAAATATAAAGAGGGTTTAAGTCTAGGGGTGTGGCTCAGGTGGAATAATGCCAGTTCCTCCATTAAAAAAAAAAAAGAGTGTCTGAGTCTTTAATATTTATGTTCAGCACACAGACTTCCTATTCCTAGAACTGAAATGTGTCCACATAATTACAAATAAAATCATTTGTCTTGTTTCTTATTATACCTGTAAAAACATAAACATTTGTAAAATATGAAAATGCTTTAATAGTAAAATGGTCTGTTTATATATGTACTTTGCTTTACTTTCTAGACTCTTCTATTTGAAGATGAAGTGAAATGTGGATACTGGGTCTAACTGGCACCATCTTGGCATCTTGGTGGATGACAGGGACTTTCCGAAAACTCTTAGAGGTAAAAATCCTACCCTCACCTCTGGGTGATAGGTGCTCCTGAATTCCTAGCAGCTGGGGAAGGGACTTGGACAATAGGTTCCTGGACCTGCCAGACCTATAGCATGAACTCAGGAGAATCTTTAAACTCTCAAGGTCCCTGTAAGCCTGCCCCTGACTGTAAGGGTTGGTGAAAGAACACCTCCACAAGGTGCAGGCAGAACAGAATTTATTAGGAGAAGCAAACAGCCAGCCTGCACCAGATTTATGAGTGCAGAGCAGGAACTAATGGCACAGAGAGATTATATAGGGGAAGGGGAGGAGGAGGAGTGACCTCAGAACCTGGGGGACAGCCTGCTCCTGGGACCTGGGCTCCAGGTGCTGTGTGGGGACTTCTAGGGAGGGCCACACGCAGTCTTGCATGGGGTCTGTGTGCAATTTCACATGGAAGGAAAACAAAGGGAAGGGGCCCTTTTCCTCAGGCAGACCTAACATTGACTGTGACCCCTGCTGCCATTGTACCTCCTGTCCCTGGCTCTCCGCAGGCTACTCCTTTAGAGTTGACCTGGTTTGGGGGGGATTGTTTTTCTGCTCTTTCTTTACTGCCCTTGTGGCTCAGCTTCCTAACAGTATTAAGTGCATTTGAGGCTGCAAGCTTTTTGGGGACTTGTGTCCACTGGCAGTGACTAGCTTTCAAATAAAGACTCCCCATTCAGCCTCTCAAAATGTGGCTTCTCTGTATCTGGTGATCAAATTTCCATATAACAGAAGAACTCCTGCAAGTCAACTATTTGTAGTCTTAGTTTGACATTTAGGCAAGTCAATGTAAGAAAAAAAAGTGCAGGTCTATAACCTCAGCGTTTAGGAGAGAGAGGCAAAAGGATGGTGTGCTCAAGTCCAGCCTGGGACGCAGGGAATACCTGGGCTGTATTACATAGCCAGACCCCGTAGCACACGGACAGTGTCAGGGATATGGCTATTTCTGTAATTTTAAGGAGCCATTAGGACAACTCCAATGAAATATCTGCTGAAAATGGCCAAGACCTACTTTAATCTTCCTGGTAGTCAGGGATGGATACACGGTGGCCTTTCTGCCCTAGAACCCTAAACCTGTGTGAAAGGCCGCCTCCTCCTCCAGGTCAAAACAGGGGACATGTGTGCTCCAGGTTCCTGCTCACCGTAAAAATTTCTCAGCTGCTTTTGCTGAGAAACACACAAACCCCTAACAGCGGCCTGGACTGTGCCTGCCGCCTTTGCCCACTCCTCTCCTGGCGGTCCACTGGCGGCCACTCGGGGAGCCTGCGGGGACGACGACGACACGGCCACCGCAGCCCGCCGCGCCGGTGCCCGGGGCTGTGGCTGAACCGGGGCCTCTTCCCGCTCCCACGGCCTCGGGCCACGAGCATCTTCGGGGAGAAGGGCCGGCGGCTGGAAGAGTTCCCACCGGGGCCGGCCCGTTCCGCCTCCGTTCTCCCCGCTCAAACACGCGCTTTCTGCCGGCACACTGGACAAGGGGCTCCGCCGACCCGCACCCAGCGGCCTGGTCAGGGACCCGGAACCCAGCCCCAGGCTCGCCAGCCGGGAGAGTGGGTGTGGAGATGGCGCTAGGGTCCGGGGGGAGCTCTCCACGTGCGACCCCGCCCCGGGGCGGCCGCGCGGGGAAGAGCCCGCCCCGCCGGGTGGGGGTCCGGCAGCCGCTGCCGGGGCCTGGTGACGGCCGGCCTGTCCCGCGATCGGCCGGCGCCCGCCACCCCCGCCCCGGTCTAACCGTGGACCCGCGGACGGCTGCGGGGCTCCAGAGCCGAGGAGCAAGGGCGCGCGGCCGCCCCAGCGCTTCCGGGGACGGCCGACGTGTGGCCCCGCAGGGAGCCGGCCCCGGGGCCGCGGTGCGCAGCAGCTCCGGCACGGCTCCGGGGCCCGGGGCGCACCTGCGGGGAGTGGCGCCCGGACCGCAGCTCCAGGCCGAGGGGCCGGCGGCGGCGGCCGCAAGCTGGCGCTTGGCGCGAACCGCCAGGGGGATCCGAGCGGGGTCCGGAGCGGGGCGTCCGGGCCGTGACTCAATAAAGAGCGCCGGGCCGCGGGCGTGCGGCCCCGCGGGCGCGGAGGGACAGAAGTTGGGGTCCGGCGAGGGGTCGCGGCGGGCACACCTCGCCTCTGATTGGCGGAGCCGGCCAGACTTTTCTTTATGGCGTCACCGGGTACCCGCCTGTGGGAGAGCCCCGGCTCCGTGACGTCACGCCCCGCCGGCCAATGAACGGCTCCGGTCTGCAGCCCCGAGGAGGGTTGTGGGCCCTCCCGCCCTCTTTTTTTCTCCCCCTTTTTGTGAATGAAGCTCCACGGCACGGCCCTCCTGGGGTCCCCGGGAGTCGCGGCCCGCGCTGCTCCGCTAGCTCCGCCGCAGCCTGCGCGGCCGCGGTGGGCGCGCGCGCTTGCCCGGGGCGGCCGCCACCGCGGGCCGCAGAGCCGTCGCCTCGGCTTCCCGAGCCGGCCGCGGGCTCCAGGGGGCGGGCTGGGGGCGCCCGCGGCGGCGGGAGGCGCCGTAGCGGGAGCCGCGGCGCGGGTCCGCGGCCGCCGGGGCAGAGCGCGCGGCGGGCGCCGGGGGCCGGGCCCCGCCTCCGGCCCGTGCGCGGCCGCCTCCCTCCGGCTCGGCCGTCCCCGCGGCGCCGCCGCTCCGCGCCCGCCGCCCCGGGCGCTCGGCGGGCGCGCGGGGCGCGCGGGGCCATGGTCGTGGCCCCCTGACGGGCCGCGGCCGCCTCCATGAAGCGGAAGAACGAGCGGCGGCAGAACTGGGCCGCCGCGCCCCCCTGCTCGCGGCGCTCCTCGTCCACCGCGCCCGGCGTGAAGAAGAGCCGCAGCTCCACGTCGCAGGAGCTGTCCCGCCTGGACCCGCAGGACAACCTGTATCTGGACATCACCGGTGAGCGCGCGGCCCGCGCCCCGGCCCCGGCCCGAGCGGGCCCTCCCTGCGCCTCTCCCCGGCCCGGCGCGCGGGCTCCCCGACGGCCCGGCCGCCCCTCCGCGACTCCCCGACGGCGCCGGGCCTCGGATGGACCCCGCCTGCGGGGCCGGAGCCCCCAGTTCGGGCCTCGGCGCCCGACCCCGCTGTGGGCGCTCCGGGGAGCCCTCGCCCGCCGCCCTCCCCAGGCGCCGCCCTGGGTGGCCCTGGCCCCCGCCGGCGCGGGGCGCCCGGGCTGCCCCGGTGTTGGGCGGGAGCAGCGGGCCCGGCGGTGCCCGCCCCGCGGCCGCGGTGAGCGCGGCGGGCGGCGGGTGAGGGCCGGGGCGGGCGGCGGGCGCGTCCTTCAGTGGATGGAACCTTCGAGGTTGGCGCCAGGAAGCCGAGTCCGCTTCAGCCCGGGTGCAGGTGGGGGCGCGGCTTCCGCAGCTCGGCGTGGAGGAGGAAGCGCGCCTCCGTGCCCGTCCGTGCCCTCCGTGCCCGTCCGTGCCCTCCATCGCCGCGGGTCCCGTCTGTGCCCTCCGTGTCCTCCGTGCTCTCCGTGTCCTCCGTGGCCGTGGGTCCCGTCCGTGGCCTCCGTGGCCGCGGGTCCCGTCTGTGTCCTCCGTGGCCGCGGGTCCCATCCGTGCCCTCCGTGTCCTCCGTGGCCGCGGGTCCCGTCTGTGTCCTCCGTGGCCGCGGGTCCCGTCCGTGCCCTCCGTGGCCGCGGATGCCCTCCGTGCCCCGCAGCGTTGGGGTGCCGTGGGCCGCGCCGCAGGGGCGTCGCTGGGACCCCAGGTCTGCGGAGCAGCTCTGTGAAGCCCGTGACCTTTCAAGGGCGCCCAGTCTGCGGGGTTTGATGTGGGGCAGAGGAGCCCGCGGGGTCCCGCATGCCCTCCCGAGCCCACGCGCGTCACCAATGTCTCCCGAACAGACAGATGCCCGCGCACACGCGCGCACACACACGCACGCACACCTACACACACATGCACACCTGCACAAGCACGTGCACCTGCACACACCTGCACATGCGCGCACACCTGCACACACCTGCACACCTACACACGCACGCACGCACACCTTCACACACATGCACACCTTCACAAGCATGCACCTGTACACCTGCACATATGCACACACACGCACACCCGCACAAACACGCACACTTGCACACCTGCACACCTGCTCCCGCGCACCCGCACGCACACCCGCACATACCTGCACACCGCACACATGCACACACCTGCACAAGCACGCACACCCGAGTCTGCTCGCTGACAGTGCTCTGCACTTGGAGTTCGCACCGCACGGTCTAGCAGTCGTCCACAGGAAACCTGGTTGCCTGCCGAGCCGGCCCGCTGAGGCTGGCCTCCACCCTGAGCCTCGCCTCCATCCCACCTCAAGCCCCACCTGGCTCTGAGATGGGCCTGGGACATCCTTTCGGGTGCTGCGCGGGTTCAGCAGGGCTTAGGGGTAAGGCTAGCACTTATCGTTGGAGTCACAGCTCCAGGCTTTTTTCCCTCGTGATTAACTGGAGGTAAGAATTTTACAGACTTTCCTGCTGGGGCTGGCTTCCAACCTCAGTCCTCCTTCCCAGCCTCATGGGCAGCTGGCATGACAGATGTGAGCCACCAGTACCAGTTTCCTTTGCTTTGAATGAATGCCTAGGCCAAAGAATATCAGGGTTTCTGTTGATGAAAGTTCCGGTTGTTTTCAGTCAAAAAGATTTTGCATTTTCATGTGGCTGGGGATGGAACTATGGGGCTGGGACATGCCAGGCATGCAGACACATGCTACAGTGAGCTATACATTTAACAAAAAGGGTTTTGATGTCAGTGAAATAAGGCTCCATCCTGGGTATAAATGTGGGTAAGCCTTCTTGGGCATGGTCACATGACTCAGCTTTAGAAAATACCAACAGAGCTGGGAAGGTGGCTCAGTGGTAGAGCGCTTGCCTTGCATGTGTGAGGCCCTTGGTTCGATTCCTCAGCACCATATAAGCAAAAAGAAAAAAGCCAGAAGTGGCGCTGTGGCTCAAGCGGTAGAGTGCTAGCCTTGAGCTGAAGAGCTGAGGGACAGCACCCAGGCCCAGAGTTCAGGCCCCATGAATGGACCCCCCCCCCCCAAAAAAAAAAATACCAACAAGCAGAATACTGAGGAGGGCTAGAGCATTTTATCAAGTCAGAATACTAGATTACAAGCTGGATTACAGGCCACAGACCAAGTTCGTGTCTCTCTGTCAGATTTTATTTCTGGAGGAAGGAACAAGGGTTTTCCCTGGGATTTCTCCAGGCATAATAGTGTTGGTGTCCTAGAAAAATGACAGTAAAGTAGTCTGTTTCAGTGTGACATACGTGACACATTAAGGTTTGGGTTGCTTTCTGATCATTACCTTTGTGTGTGTGTAGGGGGAGGCTTTTGAAGCCTCTGCTCAGCAAATGGCAGTTGATCTTTGGTTTCTGACTGGTTTTTCTCAGTCCTTTTTTTTTTTTTTTTTCCTGCTTTGGGCCTGGGTTCTATCACTGGGTTCCTTTTTGCTTAAGGTTAGCACTGTACCACGTGAGCCACAGTACCACTTTCTGCTTTTCCTGTGATGAATTGGAGATAAGAGTCTCATGGACTTTCCTGCCCTGGCTGGCTTTGAACCAGAATCCTCAGATTTCAGCCTTCTGAGGAGTTGGGATTGCATGAGCCACCAGCGCCCGGCTCCTTGTTTTTCCATAATTTAAAAAAGACCCACAGGATTGTTTAAAAAAAAAAAAAAAAAGAAAGCCAAACATTACCAAAAGAGAAATAAATACCTTCTCTGGTCATTTTTTTCACCCTTCAGTTTTTTGTGCACATTCAGGTTTCTAGAAATTGTATCCTACCTGCAGGGGCTGTTCTCTTCTTAATTGCTGTGTGCTTTTATATGCGTGGCCGAATCATAATTTATTTACAGGTAATAAATAAGTAGAAATTTGGGAATTTGCTAGACTATATTAGAGATAGCTGCAGTGATATTGGTAGATGTCTACCTCTGTTAATGTTGACTGTATTTGTGGAGTAAACTTCTAGGAGTGAAAATGCCAGGCCAAACTATATATAAATGTATCTACTCATCAATGGATGACAGGGCTGCTGTGAATACCTAGGAATGTCCATGGTTGCATGGGCATGCTTTCACTTCTTTTGGATACATACCTAGGAGTAGAATTTCAAGGTCACACAGTAACTCCATGTTGGATATTTTGAGTAACGGCAGCATATTCAATTTGTAATAGAAATTCTGGGGATACCAGGAGATTTCATGTGTTTGCATTTAATTAGGATGCTTAATCTTTGGTTGTCTTTTTTCATTCTTCTATCACTACTTTTTAGGATCTATTTAGACACACTACTATCTTGGCCATTTCCATAGTCTCTTTCTTACTATGAACAGACTGAAAGGGGTTTAATTCCCACCCTCATCCATCTCCCTTTCTTGAGGCCATTCACTTAGTCCCCAGTGTATCATGGAAAGAAAAGATTGCAGGCAATGTAGACTACATGTTAGTGCTGCAGAGATACTGCGTTAAAGGTGTCAGAATGAACTGTTACTGGTCAGAAGCTGAGAGAAAAGAGGAAATGAGGAGAGTTTCAGTTGGATTTGGAAGTGAATTCGTTCTTAGTTATTAGACATACCAAGAGGACACAAGTATGCATTTGATTTTCGTCTGAATTTCCTTCATTCCAGAGAACTGAATTTTCTTTAATTTTCCCATCTCTTCAGTAGGGCCCTGCATCAAATGACAGTGCATTTTCTTTCCTCTTTATTAGTAAAAGCATTTTAAACATTCTGACATTATTTCATAATCTCTGTGCTTGGTCATTTATATGATTTAATAGTTGGTGCAGACCTTTGACTTATTTTTATTTAAAAAAACATCTGATTAGAGCAGGTGCTGGTGGCCCATGCCTGTAATCCTTGCTACTGAGAAGGCTGAAATCTGAGGATTGTGGTTTGAAGCCAGACTGGGTAGAAAAGTCTGAGTTTGTTTTTTGTTGTTGTCAGTCCTGGGGCTTGAACTCTGGGCCTGGGCACTGTCCCTCAGCTCTTCAGCTCAAGACAAGTGCTCTGCCACTTGAGCCACTGCACCACTTCTGGCTTTCTGAGTGGTTTATAGGTGATAAGTCTCATGGACTTCTCCTGCCCAGGCTGGCTTTGAACTGTGATCCTCAGATCTCAGCCTTCTGAGTAGCTAGGATCAAAGGCATGAGCCACCAGCACCCAGCCTGTAAGACTCTTATCTCCAGTAAACTACTCAGAAAAAGCCAGAGGTGGCACTGTGGCTCAAAGTGGTAGAACTCTGGCCTTGAACACCGAGAGGTTCAGGAACGGTGCCCAGGTTCTGAGTTTAAGGCCCAAGACTGGCAAAAAACAGTTCTGATGAGTAAAGAAAATTAGTAATGACTGTCAGATCAGCAAAAAGGTCTTTTTTTTTTTTTTTTTTTTGGTGGGTCATGGGGCTTGAACTGGGCCTGAGCACTGTCCCTTAGCTCTTCAGCTCAAGGCGAGCGCTTTACCAGTTGAACCACAGTGCCACTTCTGGTTTTCTGGTGGTTTATTGGAGAGAAGAGTTTCACAGACTTTTGTGCTGGGGCTGGCTTTGAACTGTGATTCTCCGATCTCAACCTTCTAGTACCTAGGATTACAGGCATTTGTCTTAAATTTGTTTACTTCCTCCCCCTCCCCTCCCCCCCCCCCCCCCCCCCCCCCCAGTCCTGGGGCTTGAACCTCAGGGTCTGGGTACTGTCCTTGAGCTTCTTTGCTCAAGGCTAGCATTGAGCCACTGAGCCACTTCTGGCTTTCTGTTTTTCTGAGGAATCCAACCCAGGGCTTCATTCATGCTAGGCAAGCACTCTATCACTAAACCACATTCTCAGCCCTTAAATTTGTTTACTTTTTTTTTTTTTTTTTTTTTGGTTGGTTGTTGTGGCTGAACTCTGGGTCTGGGCGCTGTCCC